AGGCTCGGCCCCGTGCGCGGAGCGGCGCCCGGCGCCCCGGGCGCCCGCGGCGGATCCTCTCCCCGCGGCCGCCTGCGCCACCCGGAGGTGGGCACTCCGCAGACGGGGGCCCGGGCCGCGGTGCGCACCATCCCGCGCAGAAGCGGCACCTGCTCTGCGCGGTCGACTCTCCACAAGGATGGGCACCCGGTGCGAGGCGACAGACAGACCTGGCATAAACAGCGGCTTTCAGCGACGCGTAGGCGTACGCGGCCAGGCGTTCCAGCTAGCTGTCTCTTCGAGCTCAAAGTGTGGATGCTGCTGCTGGCATCGCTTCTGATAGAAGAACTCAACAGCTCTTCACCGAGCCGGCCGACGAGACTCTCATGCGAATAATGTGAAGGATGCAAACGAATGAGCGGGGGAAGATCAAGAAGACGTTGAACACGCAAAGGAGGAGGAAGAGGACGAAGAAGAGAACGAGACGAGGAAGATAAAGCGAAAACAAGAAGAGAAATCAAAAACAGGAAGGGAAAGAGGGGGAGCGATATCCGTCGCCCCCCCCCCCCCACCACACACACACACACACACACACCGTTAAGGGCGACCTGGCTGCGCGGCTGAGGCATCGGCGGCTGAGCAGCTTAGATCTCGTCAACGCCACGAGGCACATCGCAGCATTGTATCATCCTGAAGAGCTCAACAAGTTGGCAACCGTGATGTTCCCACCGCCAGTTATCAGAGCACAGAACCGCTCAGTTCCCCAAGAGGTGACATCCAAAGTGCCCGAGAGAACGCACGCATCCCCCTCGGACACAAAGCAGGGTGTGGCCGCGCCCAAGCCACGTTTCCTCAACTCCTGGGCCCCTGGGGGCACGCAACAAACAATGAATACGCACTGCCAAAGCCACAACCCCCCGCAAAAAACTGTGGGTCCGCGCTCCTGAAGTCACGATTCACTGTCCCTCGTAAAAGCACTGGATCCGCGCTCCCGCAGACACGGTCCCTGGTAGAAGATCTTGGGTACGAGCTCCTGATGCCAGATCACTTGATTTTTAGCAACAAAACAAATGAATACTTACAACAAGGGATCGCGCGCCCCAGGCCATGATCCCTCGCACAAAACGTTGGATACGCACTCCCGCAGCCACGATCCCTGGTGAAAAACCTGAGGATCCACGCTCCCGAGGCAGCGATCACTCGTAAAACAACTACGGGTCCGCTCTTCGGACTCGCCCGCCACTCGGTCAGCCTTGGAAGCAGCTGGCAAGCCTGCAAATCGGCCCATCAGCCACCCGACTAGCTGACCTGCCAAGCGTCCATGCAGACGGCCAGCCAACTAGCCGAGTTGCCAGCCCGCCACTCGACCTGCCAAGCAACCAGTCAACCCAACCAGCGCAGCCGTGCGGGCAATCAAAGGGGGATAGTCGGAGGCAGAGAGCGAAGACATGAAGGTAAGAGGGGCACGAAGAGCAGGAGATAGAAGAAGCAGGCGGCGGAGGCAGAGGAAGAGGAAACACGGGGGCAGAGGAATACAAGAGGGAGGGCGCGAAGGCACTGGAGGCAGAGCTGAACAACTGGAGGCAGGGGAGGCGGAGGCAGAGGAGACACGAGGCGGAAGCGGGGGCGGGAGCGGAGGGGAATGGCAAGGGGCACGGGATGTGACTGGGAATGAGCCTCCCCCCCTCCTTCGCCCTCCCTTCCGACGCATCCGCCCTCGCACTCCCCCATCGGAGGGCCGGGAGGACGAAGTCTCCCCTTTTTGCCTGCTCCTGCTCTGCTCCTCCTCCCCTTCCTCCTCTTGCTCCTCGCTCGTCCTCGTCCTCGTCCTCCGGGCTGTTGGCCGCGAACGGCCCCCGGGCCAGAAGTGGAAGTCGACGGAGAAGAATCATGCTGGACCCTAGCGCGAAGGAAACGGACCCCAGACCGGGAAACAGAGAAAAGAACCCCCCCAGGGAAGTGGAAGAAGCAGAGCCACTGGCCCGAGCGAGACCCCAGACAGCGCCAACGACCCCCACACCCACCCCAAAAGCACAGCTCAACAGCCGCTGTCCCGGGTAGTGACGGCTCCGCTTCTGCCACCCCGACGACCAGGCCCGCCCGTCGCCCCACCCCCTCTGCGTTCCAAGAACATCCCCCGCCGCGTGGGGGCTGGGGGGAGCAGGCAGCAGGAGGAATCCAATGCGGGGCGCAACAAAGAGCTTGTCCCCCCGCAGGATGGTTTTCGTAGAGGCCATTGTAGTCGCTTGGGCCCTCGGCCCGGCAGCGCGGCTATAAGACCGCCCGAGACGGACTGTCCGCAACGCTGGAACTAGGGAGGGGGGAGCCGCGGGACGAGCACAGGCCTAACACCATTGCGCCCCAGCTCAAGCACAATACGTCGTAGGAAACACACTTCTCGAGTTTGGCGTCTGTGCACATGGGCCGCAAACTAATCTTCTGAGACGCGCGCACAGAAACCACTGAGGCATCACACCACATCCTGCGTTTGTTGTCACTTTTTCAGCGCGCGCGTCGATGTTCGCGCTTGATTCTCCGAACTGCCACAAACCACTGCACAGGGTCCAGTACAGTAGGGGCCCGACCACAAGAAACCTTCCACAAGAAAACACAACCCTGAGACCCCAGGACGTGCATGGATTTGTGGTGTGGGAACGTCACGCATTCCATAGCAAAGCCATCGAATCCCAAGAAACCCAGGGCACCCTGGAGGCAAGCAGGGTGTTTCTTGGCATGGGTCTCCACTGTAGGGTGCAATATGGGCACAAAGCCAGAAAGAGCCAACGACATGTGACATCAGATGCCGGATCGCCTGGGCCAAGGACGTCCCCAGCCTGCCCCCCGGGATGCCGCGAGAGAGAGAGTGCCAGAGCCCCAACCGCCCTCTCGGGCGTGGGATCTGGGGAGGCCCGAGCAGTCCCGCCCCCAATCCACATCCGATGACAAGAGGAAAGAACTACCAGAAAGTGGCACCGTCCGCCGGCACCCGAACAGGACAGCACGAGCTCCCTCCCCTCGCGAAAACTGAGTAGGAGGCGCCCGCAGGAGGGCGTGAGTTAGCCGTACCCCCCGGAGGGGTGCGCTGCCCCTGACGCGGGCGCTCAGCAACTGGGAGATCAACGGCGCGCCCGCCAAACCGACCCCCAGGCCCACGCACCCCACGAGGAGGGAGAGGAGGGAAGAAAAGAGGGGGAGGTGAGGAGAGAGAAGGCGAGGCCGAGGGAGGCGCACCGAAGGCCAGGGTGTGGTTTGAAACGGTCGCCTTGCCCGTCCCCCCCAAACGCATCGCCTTCGACCCATAACTT